TTCAGTTTACATTGTTTTGGGGTAAATAGAGACTGATTTTTCCTCTCTAAGAGAAGTGGTGCCCACACAACAAGGTTATTTGCATAATCTATTCATATCTTATGAGCTTAACTCATAACTGATAATCAACAATATATATATCCAGCCCCATATCACTCTACATTTACCTATTAAATGATACAACGGCATGCCATACTACTACTCCTCTGCTTCTATCTAGTGGCTGAAAATGGTACTGTTCAAATTTTATTTCAGTCAATGCCTGAAAACGGTCATATCTCAGCCAAAAAAATGGTTTATAAATATGGGAAAACTGCGGGAAACATCTTTTAGATTGTCTGCCTTAAAGAAAATTTAAGCTCCTATTAAGGAAACAAAATGTTGCCCGCTCCTGTCCTCGACCAATAAAAATCACATTTCAAACATGCATTCCCGTAAACAAAACCAGCCAGGTGATAAATCGACAAATTTCAACAAATGGTGCATCATTTTGATGCTTATGAGACGGAGACATTAAAAATAATAATCCAATAGTAGAAAAATTGCTCAAAGTGACTCATATTGCGGCACGGGTCACGAATCGTCAGAGTGAAACTTTTGAGTTTTGGGATTTATGATTCGGAGAACTCACCCCAGCATCCCCGACTCCTTGGTCTTAATGATGTACAGGAACATGAGGATTGTGTGGAAAAGGTTGTTCCTGCCCTGAAACACAAATCACATGTCACAGAAGCCGTCCTGAAACGGACACAGACGGAAGCACTCGGGGGTTCTTGCGGTCACCTTGGGCAGGCTGTAGATGTGTGCTTGGTACACGAGCTGGTAGTGAGGCGGGGTGGTGCTGCTCTGGTGGACGCAGAAAAGGTTCTCCTTGGTAACATCTGAGACAGAGGAGTGACAAAATTAAAATGCAAAAGACATGTTGAACATTTGTACATGAAAAATAAAAACCTTCAGCTTGTTCAACTTTCGACACCGATCTGGACACTGGCTATGACCTGGAGTTTCTGTTACTTTTATACTTTTTGAAATATTTACCTTTGATTACTTTTTTCT